GTATTCAAATATGCTCTTCTGCATACCTTGGTATGTACATGTAGTAATTTGAGTTAGTGTCGCCTTCCTATTAGCTCAAAGTCTGGTTATTCTCCTCATATGTCTGGCATCAATAAAGCATTTTGCCCAGAGAACTCCAGCTGGATGCTTTTTCTTTTTTTTGGATCATTCTCTGTAAACCTCAGCGATGGAGGTGGGGGAAAATCCCAGTAAATCAGCAGTTTCTGAAATACTCAGACCAGCCAGTCTGGCACCGACAGCCATGCTGCATTCAAAGTCACTTAAATCATCCTTCTTCATTCTGATGCTTGGTTTGAACTTCAGCAGGTCGTCTTGACCATGTCTACATATCTAAATGCAGAGTTGCTGCCATGTGATTGCCTGATTAAAAATTTTTCTTGAGGAGCACTTGAAGAATTGTACCTAATTAAGTGTGGCGAATAAACCAAAAATGGTTTAGATTTGCTGCAACTACTCATGTGTGCAGATGTCAGACTATATCAGAGAGACTATATCTATAACAGCTTATTGTGTGCATTATGCCAAATATACAATACATCCCAGCAAACAACTGTGTTTGAAAGAAGCACTGAAAATGAGTCCTGTCGGACAAGCTCTTTTAATCGTGGGGTGCATTTAAAAATCATTTGTAGACATAAAAATTGGATCCATTCAACTGTTAAGACGCAGGCTCTGAAGAGAATATAGCACATTCACAAAATCCCTAATAGGATCTGGTAGAGAACATATGCTTTTGATATACACAAGGAATTGGTGAATGTCTCCAAAGGCTGCACATACCTCTACACACGCATAGAAACTGCAGATCTCAGCAATATGAATAGTCAGGCCTGCTTACACAAGTGTGGCTAATTCAATATGACATCTTTCTAATAGGTAGTCTGGCCTCTTGGGGGGGACTGGGCTAAATGCAGAGTGAACAGATATTACAAGTGTGAGGTGTTGATGTAAATAAAACTATAATAATAAGTCTTTTTTTGCAATTATAGTTAGTGTTGAAATTAATAAAGGGAATCAAAAGATTAAGCCCTTCTAGGCCTCGCAAGGAATTGGGACGAAAGAAAACCATCCCACAACGCCCTGTTTGGAAATAAATCAGATGATTAAGTCACACTGCTATCTGTGTCAGTTATGATCAAAGAGAGTAAGAAATCACGATGCAGTAACTGCAACTGTCTTATACAACTGCTCTGTTTGCTGAAACGTAGGCAGAACAGGTGTTAGTCTAAGAATTAGTCTCCCTTAAGGAGTGGTGTGAGTCAGGCACAAAAAGTGAAACGGTGCTGGTGCATGGATTGAAACGTTGCAATGAAATGCAAATATCTCTTTGAGCATTTAAGTGAAGGTCGTGAAAGGTGCTTTTTAAAATGCACCGGTGTTTGGAGGCATACTCTCCTGTCTTTACGAAAACGGAACTTAAGAGCCAAAATATCCTTCGACACAGGGAAAGGTGAGGTGCACGACGAATGAGGGTGCTAAACCCAGACGTTCATTCCCAGTTGAATGTGACAGTTTAATCAGTCCAGATAATTCCCAAACTCCAGAAAATCCCCAAACTCCAGATAATTACCATTTACATGTTGGTAGGCTGTGCAAGGTCAAAAACCGTCTGTGATGAAATCTTAAATGAACAAGTGGAAACTTTAGTGTTAAACCTTTTGACCAAAACTGTGGTTAAAGTGTAAATTTAAGACAGCTGGTGGGGTCGGAGTATTTTTAAGCATTTTATTATTGCTGGAGTGCGTGATACTGTTGGTGGAGCATTTCCAGGTGTCTGTAATGATATGAGTGTAAAGCTCTTACACCTATGAGAAACTGTGTAGAAATCAGCATAATCAGTTGCCCTCCTGTTCAACACTAAACAACAAACTGGTCTCACAACTGCTGTAATGACGAAATTCAGGCACACTGCCAGGTGAAAAATGGCAGCACAGTGGTGTAATGGTTAGTACTGTTGCCTCACAGCAATAAGGACTTGGATTTGGATCCACTGGCTGGCTGAGACCCTTCTGTGTAGAGTCTGCATGTTCTCTACATGTACTCTGGCTTCCTCCCGCAAGTGCATAGATGTGAAAGTTAGTATGATGTATGGATGGCTGGATGGATGACAGTAATCTAATAAGCTATTAATCTGAAGAATGTGGTGCAGCATTTCTAACACAGACCTTTGACAAACAGCGAGCAACAGCTGCTGGAGATGGTGGTATCAAGCTCAAACACCAGAGACCGAAACATTTCCCATAGACGATCACATCCTTGAGATCCATTTGGCTTTCTGCTTCATCATGTGTGAAATTCATGTTGGTACCATATGAAACATTTTCTATTGAATTTTTAATAGCTCCTCTCAAACTTTTGACATTTAATGCATTTTTAATAGCTCAAGTGAAAAAACAACAACTTTTTATTGCAGTGGATAGTACTGTACAGAGCCGAAGAACAAAGCTGTAAGATCTAGATCCGCGATATGATGACATCACCTCGCATTCTTGTCAAAACATGACAACTGAAAGAGATAAGCACTGGGAATAGCACGACTAATGTAGCGCACCTAATTGTGAACCTTGGGATTCAGAGCAGGAGGAGTTACCTTGCCAGAAGGTGCATTTGAATTTTCTGAGTCTCAAGGACCCCGGATTGAGAACCACTGCAAAAACTGGACGGAAAGCATCAATTAAGTATTGCCAGATTTGAAATGATAATCCCTAAACTCAGCAGAGCTTTGTCTCTCTGACAGCACAGAAGAGCTTCTGTCAGTCAAATCACAAAATACTCAGAATGTCTAGTCCAGGTTACTTGGAAAAGACATGCTTATTTTCCTCAACAGTTTGAGAAGACACGTGCAAAACAAAAATGGATTTGAGCAAAAAGTCTAAAGGTGAAGATCACATTAACATTTTTAGGACAACAAATATTTTTGCTTAATTGAATCTGTGCTTAATTTTTTCTACACCTTAATTCGAACACAAGAACAATGACGTGTTTTGACCAGTGTAAGAATGAAGATTTAAGCAGTAAACGCATTTTATTTCTCATATATGTGTTGCTTTCTCATGATTTTTGATGATTTAAGCACAGCAAATGCAATGTAAGGTTAATGATCACAGTGCAAGTGCTAAACTAAAATAACTAAGTTAAAAATGAAGAAAAATATTTTTGGGGGAGAAAAGGTGAAGGAAGAGGAGGAGGTTAAAGCAAACTTGTTCTGCACTAATAAGTAACTAACTCAACGACAACAAAACACACAGTGAAACACGACTTCATAGAAAATCTCCCATTTGTAGGCAAGGACTAAGCCACAGTTATTTAAATCGAAGTCCTGGTGCCTCTGTCATCCAGCGTGACTAACAGGATTTGACATGGTGAGGAGTGGATGGGTCCCAGGTTCACAAAACACATTCTGTCTGTCTGACCCTCTCTTCACACACACACACACACACACACACACACACACACACACACACACACACACACACACACACACACACACCCTCTTACTTGGCTTCACAA